CACAACTCTGCCAGGTTGCGGTTCATAGAAAAATGATCTGCCCACCTGTTTAAGAATCATTCTTTAGTTCAAATGAAATAATTATTCAAGTACATAATCATGGATTAGAATCAATTAATTATACAATTTCACTAGTTTACTGTTATTACACTAGTATTATGACGTTATAAAGTAACTCACAGGAACAGCATTACGCTCTGTTCCATGTCTTAGAATGATGTCTAAAGCTTGTATATATTTCTGTTGACTTTGAATTGATATGGAATCATATTTCATATCTTTTAACCATGTCAAATCAAGAACTGCTGCTTTCTTCAGATGTACTTTAAAAGTATGATTTCTTTGACCTCCAACATCAAAAACTGTCACCTCATCTTCTTCCTGTAAATAGAAATATACTATGCAGTTATTTTTAGACACTTGAATTGTAAATGCAGTTGCACAATCAGCGAAATATTCATCACAATTAATTGCTTACATACACTTTGATCACCGAAAGGAAGTTCTTTTGCGCTGTAAGCATTCTTATTCCCATCAAATGCTGGGTATCTATTGGTAAAATGTTTATTCCTATATTGTTCAAAGGCTGATCTCAACAAAAACTTCGGTTTGTCTGGATTAAAGACCACATCATAATGTACAATACATGTTTCAAAAGTTGGTTTAAATAGAAGTCTGAACATGTTTGTTTCTACAGTGATTTTTCTTCCACTCTGACCTGTAGTGCATCTACTGGGTATTTGATCAATATACATCTTTTGCATTTCCGATGAGAGTGTACATCTTTCACGATCACCACGCCCTTTAATGTGCTTCTAAATGAAGAAACAATAACATTGCACATTTATCTATTGAATTACAAAATACGATTTGTACAGCTCTATTTCTTACCATTTCTTCAGTTTGCGGTGATTCTGAAGTCAATTGTTCCCCTTGCTGCTCCTGCTGGTGCTGTATTGGAATATGAGATTCTTGGTACTGCCAGTGTTGCTGTGAAGTAGACGGACGTTGTTGTTGTTGCTGATAATAAACTGACGGATCTTGTAGCATTTGCTGTTGTGGCTTGGGAGGT